GGAGTCTCACTCTGTCGCCCAGACTGCAGTGCAGTGGCCGCTCCTGGCCACCGCAGCCTCCACCTGCTGGGCTCCGGCGATCCTTCCGCCTCAGCCTTCCGAGTACCTGGAACTACAGACGCGTGCTACCACACCCGGCTAATTTTTTTTTGTGATTTATTGTAGAGATGAGGTCTCGCCAAGTTGGCCAGGTGGGTCTCAAACCCGCGGCCTCAGGCAATCCTCTCACCTCAGCCTCCCAAAGCGCTGGGATTACAGGCTGAGCCACCGAGCCCGGCTTCAATGTAGTTTTAACCAAAATTCCAGAAGAAGTTTTTGAAGATATAAACAATCTAATTCTAGAATTTACATGGAAAGACAAGGGAACTAGAATATTTTAAAAAATTTTTTAAAAGGATAAAGTTGAGGCCAGGCTTGGTGGCTCAGCCTGTCATCCAGCACTTTGGGAGACTGAGGCAAGTGATTGTCTGAACCTATGGGTTCAAGGTGAGCCTTCGTTTCTACAGTAAATAAAAAATTCGTCGGGCATGATAGTGCTTGCCTGTAGTTTTGGCTACTTGAAAGGCTGTGGCGGAAGTCTCGCCAGAGCCCAGCAGGTCGATGCTGGGGTAGCCATGAGTATGCCACTGCACTCCAGCCTGGGCAACAGAGTAAGACTCCAACTCAAAAAAATAAATGAATAATGAATACATACATACATACAGTCTAACCATCATTGTAATGCCTGGTGCTCTCTATCCCCTAGGAAGCTTGACCTCACCTTTGTTTTTTGTATTGTTTTGTTTGTGTCAGAGTCTCACTCTGTTGCCCAGGCTGGAGTACACTGGCACACTCATGGCCACCGCAGCCTCAACCTGCTGGAATCAGGTGATCCTTCTGCCTCAGCCTTCCAAGTAGCTGGAACTACAGGTGTGTACCACCACACCTGGATAATTTTTTGATTTATTGTAAAGATGAGGTCTTGCCATGTTGGCCAAGCTGTTCTTGAATCCATGGACTCAGGCAATCCTCTTACCTCTGCTTCCCAAAGTGCTGGGATTACAGGCGTGAGCCACCATACCAGCCTTGATCTCATCTTTGATGAGTCCATCTTCCTCCTCCATTACTTGCAGTTGGGTATCAAGTCCTCCCACTTGGACCCCTGGAACAAGATGACTCAATGTGGAATACTTATCTCCATTTTTGAAATTCCATTTAACCATCAACCCTAGGTCAAATGCCATCTTTTTTGAAGTCTTCTTCAATTGGAATTAATGCCTACCTTTTCTGATTTTCCATTGTATTTTTGATATACTTCATTTATATTCTTCCTTGTATTGTAACATACCTTTCTTCCTCTTACATTGACTTCTTTTATATTTTAAAGAGTCAGATTATTTTATTAACTCTTTATGTTAATAATCACCAGTAGGTAGTCTTTAAGAAATATCAAGCCCGGGCGCAGTGACTCAAGCCTGTAATCCTAGCACTTTGGGAGACTGAGGTGAGAGTGGATTGCCTGAGCCCATGGGTTCGAGACCAGCCTGGGCAACTTGGTCAGACTTCATCTCTACAATAAATCAAAAAATTAGTCGGGTGTGGTAGTGCTCACCTGTAGTTCTGGCTACTTGGAAGGCTGAAGCAGAAGAATCACCTAAGCTTAGCAGGTCAAGGCTGCGGTGGCTAGGAGTGTGCCACTGCACTCCAGCCTGGGGATGGAGTGAGACTCCAACTCAAAAAAAAAAAAAACCAAGACATCGAACTTTCTCTTGTTTTAAATAAAATACTGGGTATTGACAGATAGTACCTAAAATGTTTACTTTTTTTGTTTGTTTCTTGATTTTATTATAATGATATGGGGTACAAGTCAGGATTAGGTATATAGTCATCTGTGTGCAGGTGAAGTTTGGGCTTCCGACTGGCCCTCACTTCCTCTGGTTTGGAATCAGGCACCTTTAGTGATGTTGCATGCCCCCACCTTCCTCCCCTGGCGTGTCCCCCGTTGCGAGTCCCTCTTATAGTACGGTGATGAATGTATAGGGCCCACTTACGAGTGAGAACACGTGGCATTTAGTTCTGTTTTGGTGGTAGGTCACTGAGTACGATGGACTCTAAATTCACCCAAGCTGCTGCGAAGTCCATAATTTTGTCCTTCTTTATGACTGCGTAATACTCCATCACGTATATATACCACATTTTCTTTATCTGGTCTGCTCTCTTTTCTTTTTTTTGAGTGCAGTGGCATGCTCCCGGCCATTGCAGCCTTGACCTGCTGGGCTCCGGCGATCCTTCCGCCTCAGCCTTCCAAGTCTGG